TTGCCCAAGCCCATTAATTTTTTTCTTGTGTATGTGTGTCCCCCATTTACACACACAATGTATGCATGAAAGGGGAAAGCAGGTCAGCCTAGTCAGCCCGCTACCATCTGCTTTTATTCAGAGTTACTCAAGACCAGTGCCAGTGGGACCGCTGCCCATTTAGGGGGGTTGTTGTGTATGTTTATTTTTTGCTCTTTACAATGAAGTCAAGAGCAATTACTGTAAGTTTGTAAAAGTGCACACAAATCATAACGCACAATASAAAGCTGCTTTAGACAGATCTTAGCATGTTTAGCAATCCTACACACGCTGTAAGAAAGACTGTTTTGGCACAATGATTTAGGTAGATTGGTGAGGAATGTCCARGAGATCCTGGACTGTATTTGATCCTTGGTATCAAGAGCATATCCTACTTGCAATGCACAGCAACCTCAGCTGCTYCAATCTTTTTATTGCATCAAAAGTGTTACCTCCTTTCTTCTAAGGGTGACCATACCCTCATCCAGCATAGCAGGAGCTGATCATTACCTGGACTGTACCAGTGAAACCTGGACAGATATGAAGTACTACAAATTTGWTGATGTAGTGTAGAGCACCACCTGCACAAAAACCCAGGACCAAAAGGAGGGGTTCTCTGACTATGCTCCTATCTGACACAGAAAAAGCCTCGGGACAAAGTGAGAAGAAATGTCTCAGCGACACTTCAGCAGTAAGAGAACCAATTCTCAACTATATAATCTTCTTAAGAGTGGAAGAAAGTTGCTAAGAAAGTAAAAACCTGATGCATGTTCCTCAAAGAAGAGGACCTTGTAAAGGGTGGTGTGGAACAGTTCTCCAGAGGAGAAGGACTTCTTCCCGAGCAGTGACTATTGAAATCCTCTGATCATGAGGCAGTATGAGCCTGCTCTGTCCATGCTTTCTGCACGAACTGATTTTTTTTTATTACACATTTCTCCATTTGATCATTTGGATTTCAATTAAGACACATGCTTTCTAATATATGGTCTGTCATGTAATTGCTGTTGTCACACATGCAGAAAGCAAGAGAAAAATGTTTGAGAATCAGTGTTGCAAAGCACTTTCATCACGTAGAAGCCTATGGCTACTTGTGAAAAAAGAGAATTTCAGTGGGAAACCCAGCTTTGCATTTCCTAAATAGTCAGAATGTAAAATATATTAACTGAATTTATGTCAATGAGCAGTTTGATATCATGGGGAAAGAATTATTTTGGTGTCAAAAAAAAAAAAAGATCAGAAACAAGAGTTCTGAAAAAATAAAARAACTTATGTAAACCTCTACAGGACAAACATGTGCTTGTAAAATACTATGACTACATCTATTGATTTCATGACTTCTGCTTTCAAGATATTCCCTTAGAAATCAGTCATGCCCAAAGACCACTACAGGCTATACAAAATATAAGAATATTTCATAGCTTAGATTGTGATGGTGATCTGTCTACAGTGGGAAGTAGCTCTGGTTTGTTTCACTGCAATTTCCAGTGTGGAAATTTCACTGCAATTTCCAGAGTGGTTCAGACAACCTTTTGCAAAAGTCTAGAATGAAATTCAGTCCAAAAAAAGAAACAGCAGGATATTAAAGCAAAAGTAAACTTTCAGCAAAACAATTAAGAGTTGGACCAAAGCAATTGCAGTTCCAAGATGGGGGGGGAAGGGCAGGAGGGGAGACAGTATAGACCTTTAGCCTTATCCTAATTTTCTTCCTTCCCATTTGAAGCATCTGTTTGATATTTGCCTTATACCACAATATTTAGGGAAAGAAAAAAAAAATCTAAGAGCAATTTCTGGCTAAGGAAGAGACACTGTAAACAGCTGAATTTTCAGTATTTCAGTTTTCACCACAGTATAATGCCAATGTGAACAAAGAACAAGCTCTTTTTCAGTACAAAATGTGAACTCTGAAAGTTTTATTTTTATAAATATAGTTTGTTTTAAGGGCTTCTTGCTCCCTTATTCTTTTATTGCACAAACCATCTCCTCCCACAAGCAGTTGTGCAATCTCTGAGGCAGCAAAGCCAATCACTTAGTCTCCTACCATTACTTTCTCATGTACTTACAGCTGCCTGAAGATAATTCAGTAACCGAAGATAAAAAGGAATTACTATCATTAAGTCGTGCTCTCCAGGTCAAATTTTGAGAGTCTGCTGTAGAGAAATAATTAAATGAAGATACATCTATCCCTTGGTTCTGAGCTGCTTGTATTAAAGTTTAAAAATGCTCGGCAGTCAAGCATTGCCACCTGTTCTTTCATTTTAATTTAAGTATTTCGAATTATGCTAATGGAAACCTGAAAAATGCTTGCATTCTGGAAATACGTACATTCACTAACCACCACAATTATTATCATATTAAAGTTATGAAGAAATATGAAAAAATGGCAAAAAGATTAAAGGGTATTATAAAGCCAAAAACATTTCTGCGTGCATATTATATGCTACAAATATATATGTTTTCAAACCACTGTCTCCACTATGTCTGGAGAAAGCACACATTTCAATTAATAATACATTCAAGCTTTATTTTCAGTTGTAGCTTTCAGGAGACATTACCCTTTCAGGCATGATATTGTAACAGTCCTACTGAACTTCAACTTTCATTAGAGGACATCAATCAACTTTCTTTCAGTAAAAACACATGTTCGGTGTAGACCACAGAAAATTCTTAAAAAACAAATGAAAGCTCTATCACATATATATATATACACACACACACAAACACAGAGTCAAATATATATGTATATATATGAAAAATTCAAACAGGAGATGAATCTGCTCTTGTCATAAATTTATCAGTTAAATAAAACATCTTTTTCCTGTACAATTCTAAGTCCAAAGAACTATGTTTTTTTCTCTTGCCACCCTAAACTCTCACTTCATCTGGTTTAGTAAGCAGTGCCATTGACTATAAGCAGTACTATACAGCTATACTATTCAATAACTGTTGCTTAATCAATACATGCTTATTATGTTGCAAGTCTTCATTTTTTCTTTCCCGTGTTTCTGATTAATTTTTATCCTCATTTTTTTCACTGATTTAAGTTTGGTGTGGTGAAGCTTACGTGGATGAGAACTTCTGGTTAAGAATGACAGACCGTTGTTTCCATTTCCAAACACTTTTGATTTTTGTTGGWCCATTAATTATGCATACTATGAATGAGATTTAAATTATCCTGCTATATAAATCATCCTTTTTTTTTGTCCCACTCAAAGAGCAAAAACTGCTGCCATCTTGTGGTCAAACATTCCCATGTGACACACAGACACTGGGACTGCACCCAAATTCCTTGTATTACAGTAGTGATTTTCGGCGGAGTTGGGGGTGGTGGTGGTGAGGGAAGAAATTCTGGAAAATAATAGATTTGGGGGAAAAAAAAAGAAATAAAGAAGTTATTGTACTCCATYTCCAACCCTCTAACTTCCTACTCATTGATTCCGGCTGGAAGTGCTGTCTTGTTAAAGCTGAGAGCCAAAGCTGAGGTGCAAGAACATGAGCCACAGTGCTAAGAGAATCTGCTCCCCCACTTTGCTCCTTCCCTCTGGTGCTTAATAGGAATAGGAGGAGAAAAAAGATAAGGAAGATTCCCACAAGCACTATGGAAACTGCTCCTAAATTAGAACAGGTCAATCATTCTGGAAGGCAGTCCTGCCTCAATTTTACTTCTCCCTCTATTTAGAGGCCATACATAGTTTACTGGAAACTCAGTTTTCCTAGAATACCAAGGAAAACTGTGGTTCTCCCTGTTAGAGAAAAATTCATTCCAATACTTTATATCACCACCATCAAAAARTGGGGTCTAACTCTTAACAAAAAATAATAAATGAAGTCTTTACATACTAGCTTTAAAATAACTGTTGATAAGTGTTTCTGCAAYAAAACACAAACACGTTCATGCACAAACCTAAGGCTTTTCTACTGCACAGAAGCCAAGTTTTACATTATTCATCACTTTCTTCTTTGTCTGTAAACCACAGTTCCAAGTACCATGACCATAACATTGGCCCAGGGCTTTTCTTTCCGCTTACAAATAGTTGAAGCAAAATAGTTCCATCAGAATCATAATTCAATTAGAAGTCTTTAAAAATTAAATGGATAAGTTCAAAAAATTATAAAAAGGTCTTGAAGGAAAAATTTCTCTATACTTGGGTGGATAAATGATAATTGCATATGTTACAGACATGTAGGCATCTAGATTCCTGTTCCTAGCATTTAATATTAAAACTGCTACATATCTCATTTACCACCTGCATAAACTTGCTATCTGTTAACACAATTGAGTATGGCAATAATATGCACAGACCTTGTTATTCCAACTAATGTGAACCACAGTAAATACAGAACACTGATTCTTATCCAATATCATTTATACTTTTAAACATTGTTAAATAACCTCTAAAAATAGCATGGCTATGCATAGATACTGCACAGCACCCTTCAGAAAACAAAAATCAGTATCTGTAACACAGTAGCTGGAAGCCCATCTCCAGGCAAACCACTGCAACATTGCAAATGCTCTTTTCTTTTCACATTTGCACGACCTTAGCTTTGTATTAGCTTTCGGTTCTTCTCTACTACCCCTGCATTTTCTCATGTGTATGAACCACTGCCATTTACCAGTACATTATGAATATTTATTTGCTGAACAGCTTTCTCTAATGCAATTACAATTCAGTTAACTACATAATATGCATATTGTAAAGCTCTTGGCAAATAAAAATTTAAATAAATACTTAATTGCAAGGATTCTGATAACATATGTACAAACAGATACAGCACAAACTCTTTCAGTACTTCCCAGTGAGATCGTAACTCTGTACACAGATTTACAAATGCTGTTAATACCCATTAAAGTTTCAGGGAATAGGGTAGAAATAAAAACAGAATGCCAAAATTCACATTTTTATTGTGAATGAGTGTAAAACAACACTTCAAAGCAATGTGCTTAAACAAAAGAACTATGTTTACTTATGTCATTGGTTTACCTTCTTGTTGTATCTCTTCACACTTAGCTCTCACATGAATAACTCGGGGTCTCACAGGTTCAACTTCTGCAGCTCCTTCCTGAGTCATGTATTAAAAACATGTTAGAAACATGATTTTTGATTTAGAAACACAATAAAATTACATGGCAATTCCGGAAATATTCAAACAGATTCTAAAAGATTCATTAAAGCATATGCTTTTGTTCTACCTCCTTTCAACTTCAAAAGCATTCAGATCTGAATTACCCTATTGCAACTCTGCTTCCTCTAGACTAACAGCCTGRGAGCTCTAGGGATGAAAAAGTGCCATTCAGACCTAAGGCACAACAGACTCTCAATTCTTACTCAAACAATGCGGCAGGAAGAACTTAGAAGATTTTTCTTCCTTTTTCTCCATACCAATAGCCAGGATTTCCCCAATCCTCCTGGATTGGAAAGAACTGAAAGGGGAAAAAGCAGGACATAAATTGGAAACTGATGACATGTACATCATCTCTTTCCTTGATCATGTTTTTAAAACTATTTTTATGTCTTCAAGAAACTCTTTTCAGGACCTATACCTCCCACCATGGCTATCATAAAGCAGTTCCTTAGGATAAATAAATGCCCTGCATGTTAAAAAGGAAGACATCACATTTGACAAATACTTTTTTGCCTTAGGATATTTACTGTTTGGAACAGAAATTGTGACATGATGACATTCCAGTACAACACACACAGGAGCTATAAGATGTGTACCACCAGGTCATGGAAATCTGGAAGGCTTAAATAGTCTCAAATTTGATTTTTCTCAAATAACAGAACATTTATTCTGTTGGTTCTATAGATGAATATATGCTTTTTAGGGAAGCTTTTTAGAGAAGGAGGAACACTAGAAGGCTCATGAATTTCTGTACATCACACAACATTTGCAGCCTATGAAGCACTACTACATACTACATGACTTCCAAGAAAATTATATGCCTTAAAAAGCAATGGCACTCTTGAAGAAGTAACAGTACTTGTCCCTCCAAAAGCTAACACGGAGAAAAGAGAAAGTATATTTAGTTCTGCAAAAGAAAACCCTATCCAGTACAGGCTTCAAGTGACACAGACAGCCAGAAATACTGATGAGGACATTATAGGACGTGATTTTTTAAGCAGTGTAACACTACACCCAGAAGGCCTTTAATGGTGAGGGATTTTTATTGAGACAACTCCCAAAAAATACTTTGAATTCAACTGAGCTGCCAACAGGAGTTTAGAACAGGCAGATTCACAACCTACAATTACACGGACCTGGAAAATAAAAAATACCTAATTTGAAATACTAAAAATGAAAGCTAATGAGAATATCAAACTGACAGTCTCACTTAAAAATGTTGATTATGTAAAAGCATTYCTATATACATAAGAGCATTATGAAAATGTTTTGCAATTAACTGATTCTCTAAGAATTTAACACTGCATTTGGGATTTTGAATGATTTAGATTTACCGTCTTTGAAATGTTTAGTCACACAAATATGATTTTCAACATTTAGGACCTCTCCCACATGCAAAGAATATTTATTTAGAGCAAGAAGAGCTCCCCTGGCTGTTCTCTTGCTTCTTAGAGCTATGAGCATAGGGGTAAAGCGACAGCAAATATCACTTAATCCCTGTGCTGTTAAATAAGAACAGTGAGAACAGGTGAAACCAAAGATGCGTTTAGTTTTGCATCCTGTCCAACAGAGGGTAAAAGCACACAGAAATACCATAAAACTCCAATGCCAGAAATGGAGCAACAATGAAAGAATTTGTCATCCTGTATGACTTGAGGCATCCACCATGGGGCGAGTGGCCACACAGGTGTCACTCAGGACTAAAAAGCATTTTCCTGCCTTACAGAAAAGCCAATGCTCGTCCTCTCATTCTGATCCACACCAGTGACAAGGATGTGGCTGCTCCATCCTGCTGCCCACAACCTCTGGGAAGCGAGCAGCCTATCCAGACAGGTTACAGAAGCCATCCTAGCTTTGGTGTAACAAATCCCAGCATCCAAGAGTATTGTTCCCAAGTAAATCAGTGCAAAGTTTCACAGAATCCAAAGCTGCTTGTCATCTGAAGCATCTATGTATTTTCTCAGGCCTCTCATAAACACTGTTAAAAGCCTCATTTTATACCTGAATGGATTTGTTTTCTCACTATTATATAGCTGTTAGTTTTGCTGCAATCAAGATAAAACGAGAACTGARAACTAAGATGTGAAAAGACTAATATCCTTCTGAGTCAAGCTTTGCAATTATCTCATGGAGTTTTTTTTTTTTTTTTTTAATATTAAGGAGCCAAAGAGATAGCTCGCAGCTTGCTCATAAGTCTGGGATGAGACTCAGCTTTATTATTAGTGGTTCAGTAGGCAAACCATTTCTCGTCTGCACAGAAGCTCTATCTTAACACTGATGCAGCAAAGCAGAATCCTACCTCCTGCTTTTAGAAAAAGATTTAATCAGTTTTCTCAAAATCTGTTGGGAATGGTTCACCAGTGATTGTGTAGACCCTGGAGACCTATAATGAAAACACTAAGATCACAAATGCAAGAACTCATAACAAACTGTCCAAAGAAATAAGGGGGCACCTCAGCATCTTTAAAAAAAAAAATTGCACAGAATTTGCCCCATACAGGACAGAAGTTGCCTGTGGCTATCATGGGTCATGGTTAAAAAACCACCCCTTGAAAAGCAGTGATTTAGAGTCTTAACATCAGGAACACCCATGTACAGGAAGACATGACTGTTTGGGAGAAATCAAACAGAATTAGAGGGTCTGGGGTTTACTTGCTTTGTTCAGAGCAAGGAAGAGCTCTATATGCCAGCAGGAAAAATAAAAAAAAAAATAATAATTTAAAAAAAAGAAAAAGAGGAGACAAAAAACAAAACCCACATTAAGAACTCACATGCAAAAAAAGGTTTCTACAGATGAGATAATACACAGTTATATGCATATTTTTTCTCTCTATGAAAAATATCTAAGCTATGTTAGAGCACCTTACATTCCTTGCATAGGTGAGACTACATACCTGGTTCAGTTTAAACGTGGTAATTTATCATAATTTATCACTCTCCTGCATCCAAGCAAAAAAAAAAAAAAAAAAAAAA